TTTTTGCAGCTGAATTTCTGCATTTGAATTTTTTGCAGCTGAATTTTTACCAGATAAAAATTGAGTGTAAGGAATTCAATGTCTAAAAAAAGTCAGTGTTTAAAATTCGGTGTTAAAAAAAGGCAGTTTCCAATGAGACTGTTTTTCTTTCATAGACTATGCACTATTAACCATAAATACAAAAGAAGGCAAAGAAGAAAAACAAAACAAAAAAAACTACAACATTTATGTATAAATCTAAAGCGGAAAGTGTTAGCTGCTGGAAATATGGTAGGATCTTATTTCCGGGGAGAGACAAGTGATAAAACAAAGGATGTAAACGCATTTACTCTCTCAGAAAATATATTATATATAAAAAATATAAAATATTTAACATTTTACACATGGTAGTTTAGTACTTTTCATATAATAAAGGAGAGAAAAGAGTAATTTACATCTTTTTTGTAAAGTACAATCGAGGAAGAGCCAAATAGTGGTTGAGCTGGTGCTACAGATCGTGCTACCAGTAGGGGTTGGTTAGTGACAGCAGTTCAGAGTTAAGAGTGTTCTTTATGGGTTAAAAACAGCAAGTACCAGAATATAAAATAAAACATTTTTGGGCAGCAAGTCTAATTATTTTATGTATGCATTGACTGTATAAACTGTTTTGCGAAAAACTGGTAAAATAATTTAGTGGAATGATCAGAGCATTTACCCTTTCATTTGTACAAGAAAAAAAAAATCTCCTGTATTCTTTAAATATATTTATATATTCTTGTTTGTTTTTTGATGTCTATATATGGAGGACCAGCTCTACCATATTTAAAAATACAGAAATAAATGATCAATAAATAAATAAATACTTGCCACCAAAAATACAATAAAGAAATAATGTAGGTAGAAACTAAAATTATACAGTGAGATATAAATATATACATCTCGTTTAATGAGCTTCTTTATTTATTCGACTTTGCAATGATTACCTTATTTATTGTCTGTTATAATCTTCCACACTATTAATTACTTTTTAAGTATTAATTTATGTGCATGTTATAATATTTTTGTCTGTTTTATTCTTCCTTTTTATTTTTTAACCTATTTATTTCTTCTATGCCATTTATTTCTGCCCATCTTTTTTGCATTTCTGTTTGCATTTCTGCCTCATTATGCAAATGAGGAAGGGCTGTGTCTTAGAGGGTAACCTTTTGCCCAATTGGATGAAAGCTAAGCTAACCTTTATCAGAACTGTACTGGCAGGTATCTTAAAGTTACGGAGCCAAATAAAAAATAAATGGGTGAGTCGTTTGTTTTAAGTGTGGCAGGCTAGCTTTCCTCTAGCGGTAGCAACGGATAGAAATGAATTGGGTTATTTTTTAGCTTTTTATTTGAACCAGATTGCCACAAAAAATAATGTTTACGTCAGTGTTTATACCTTTATTGAATAAAAATTTGAGTAACTTTATAAAATAACAAAAAATATAATATATTATAAAAATATATCATATATAATATAAAAATATGGAATTGTGTAATTTTTACATTAAAAAAATTCTAAGAGGCGTTAACACATGCAGGTATATGTTGGAATAATTACAGTATGAGTAATTAGGTTTGAATATATAGAAATATTTAAGACCATAAAGTTTCGAATAAAGCCAATAATGTGACTCACCTTCCATAAAATCCCATTGTAATGGCCTTCATGACCCACTGAAGATCCAACACTTTGAACGGAAACAGCACAAGATGAGTTGAGTTGTCTAAATCCACGGCGCTCTCTGGATACATGACATGATGAGTCGTTCTGGTCCCAACATCTTCTTCATAGCCTTTTATTTTTGCATAGTTCATTCTAAACAGTCCAAAAGGACAAATATATTTAACTGTCAATATTTGGAAACTTCTTTTTCTTAAGATCTTGAAATTTACCTTATGACGATATCTTGGAAATCTATTAAAGGTCCGTAATGGGATCCTTTCAAATTGACAGAGTTTCCCACCACAGCACAAGTCCTGCATTTGTCAGGGCTGGGTTTTATAAGATCAGGAATGGGGGAAATGATCTTAAACAGCTTGTCCAACGTGGATTTAAAATAAGTAAATTTGTGTTTTTCCTTTTGTAAGCGCTGAAACAAAAAGCAAAGACATTTTGTAATTTTCAGATTACTAAAGTGACAAGAATGGCACACTTCTTTTAAAACGTTTGAAGACATATAGAGACATTTATAACCTTACCTTCCACCACTGAAAGGTTTCTTCTGATACACTGGTGTTAGCAGACAGAAATGGTTTAACAGAACGTCGCAGATGATGATTCAGCATCGTATGATGGCTAGAAAAGCAGACCTCACAGGGACAAGTGTCATTGTATCGAAGCTGAAGCCGCTGAGTGAAATCTGACCTCCAAAGCAAAGAAAGAGAAGCTACGGACAACAGGAAAATCCCCAACTTCACTTTTAATGTCATGCTGGTTTTGCAACTCTTCCTATTTCAGTTTCAGCCTGTAAAGACAAAGTGCATTTATATTTCTAAACATCAGTTGATCCAAAGTCAACTTATATAAAAGCCTTTTTATATAAACATAAAATGTATTTGCTTTTATCAAAGTCACCACAACTTAAAATCAATAGGGCAAATTATTACCTTACCTTAAGACCTGCTCCTTTTGAGCTTCCGGTATGGTTTTCAAGTCCGGGCGTCACCTGTGACTTCTTCAACTTTCAGGAAGCTGACTACATGTGTGACATGGGATGCTGTGTTGTGGAAGAAAACAGGGGAAAAAAACCAAATAAAGGTAGAGGTGTGGTTTCATTAGGTCCCATCCACCAGAGGCTCTGACAACAAATATGATCTCTTTGGGTAAACATTCTGGAATGTTGTTACCGTAGTAAATTCTTAGTTCACAGCACCATGACAAGCAATTTGTCTGCCTTTTTAAGAAAATAACATTTTTTAAATAGTTAGAAACTACAAGAGGACGCAACCTCTGGAGTTCATACAGGGGCCGCATATTTGAATTGGTCATTAGTCTCTGTGAGAGCAAAGTAAACTGCAGATTTGAAATCTTTAGCCTAATATATTAAAGGAAAAGTCCGGTAAGCAAATGGATCATTATTTATCCATTCACCAATTCATTTTCTGTCATGTTTATCAAGTGGGGTAGCGAGGAGTGAACCCATGCATGCTCAGGGAGAACACGCAAACTCCATACAGAAAGACCCTGGACTGGGAATCGAAACCGGAGCCTTCTTGCTGTAAGGCACCAGTGCTACCTAGAAATGATACGTTCTCTGTGATTTAATACATTTTTCGTTAATAAGTAAAAAAAAATAAAAATAACAGTTTTCGTCGTAATCACTGTGTCTGGGAGCGGCCATTTTTGTCCAAATATAGCAACACCTCACTCCTGACATCTTCCGGCAGTGACATCACGGTGCGGTAAGCCTAGCGCCATTCTCCCCGCTTTACAAGCAAAACCAATGGGAGCTACTAGACACATCTGCAATCAGCAACAATTATTTAGGATAATTTAAATTCATGAGAGCTATAGTTAAACTGACAATGCCCACGTGCATGGCAGTTGGATGTTGTAATACATCGGGTAAAAGAGTTATTTCACCTTTCTGATTTCCTGATCCTCCAAGGGCGGGTTGGTTGTTGGATTGCCAACTTGAAGAGGGAGGATTGGCTATTGAACCTCTGGCCAGAGAAAAAACACGTAATATGTAGCCAACATTTGGAAGAAGAATGTTTTCTAGATGACTTGGATAATAGCGCGTTGAGACAAACAGGACAACCATTGATCAACAGCCCATACCGCACCGTCACAAACTGGTAGGTGTCAGTAGTGTTCTTAGACAAACATGGATGCCTCCAGTAAAGCACATTTAAATGAAATTTACTCTTAATAAAAAACAATTTTCATTTCTTGAACAGTATGTAATAATTTCATGTTTAAAACACTTTCAGAATTTTGAATTCTGAATATGACTTAACCTTCAAATAATCAGCTAACTGTATTTTATTTATAAAACACAAGAGCAAGAGTTTGAGTGTTTTTTTTTGTTGTTGTTGCTGGTTTTTTTTGGCTTTTGGGATAGGATTCTATTCACCCAAGATCTTCCCCAAGGGTTTCTGTGGTATAATGCTAATGTTACCCTAAGGACACATAGGTCAGAATCGACAGTCTGTTGATTCTGACTTCTTTGAACTTTGCCGTTTCCTTCTTGAAACTAGATCCACAAAGCATTTCTTTTATAGGCTATACTGTAGGTTTACATGGATATAATAGGCTTAAAACGGATTATAGCAACATCCACCTACACACAAATAATGGGATTAAAGGCCTGATAACATCAAAAAAGGTTTCATGTAAACATGAAAGGCTGAAGATAATGACATTCGGAAAGAATTTTCATTCTGATGGAGAGAGGTGTTTTTTTCCGAGCACCATTTCTTTACTAACCTTCATTCACTGGTTCCTGGTCCTCCTTGCTGGAGGAGTGGTTCTAAATGTTACAAGCAGATGAACATGTCATCATGCACACTACCCCTCTAGCAAAGGAGCATTAGCATAGTGAGCGCTGAGCCCTAATGAGCTGAATAAGGATCAGGTGTGAGTGGAACTAACTAGAAGGAAGGCAAAGGGAAAGGAAACAAGCACAAGGGGGCAGCAGAGAGTAGCTAAAGACTGCTTGATTTAATGGAAAATAAACCAAAGATCAACAAAATAGAATAATTGAAAACTAAAAAACTCAGCCTCTGTTCAAATTCATGGGCTGAGTCTTCAAAGGATGTGGTTTACCTGGACTGGATCCTTTAAAATAAGGCGACTTTTAAGGAGAGTTTTGGCTGTGAATTTAAACAGGTCTAGCCTTCGGTCGCTTTTGTTCAACTGTCGCTTTAGCAACCATGAGAGCTGACTCACAAAGCAGGAACAGATGAGTATCGAACTTTTCAAAGCTGTATTTTTTACATTTTTTTCCTTTCTTTTTTTTTTTGTAAAGTGAACAAAGACTACACTCATGAGAACACAGAGGTGACAACCACTGTGAGCAAGTTAAAATAAAATGAAACGTAATAATATAAACCTTAATCCGGTAAATAACATGCTGCTGTTATTTTGCACATCTATGATGTTGCTGCTATTGGTTATTTATTCTCCAGGTGGAAAGTTTTATATTGTTAAAACACTTTACAGTAGAGTATTTTATTGTTTATATTCTAACTCTGCACTGTTATGTTATTCTTAGACATTTTTTTACGGTCCACATTTGTGTGACCATTTATTTCAATAATCCTTCTGCTGCTGTAAATTTCTCCATTGTGGGACTATTAAGGGATTTTCTGTTCGATTCTATAAAAGGGGTAGAAAGATATAAGTAAATCTAAAAAAATGTATGTATAAAACATATCTGCAAAATATCTTATATTCAACAGCAAATTGTGCAAAATAGCAATAAAAAAATAAAATCATATCAGTTTTATAGTCCCCATACTGCAGATATATTAGAATCTGTCCAGTAAGAGATTTGGATTTTATTAGATATCAAACGTTACCCCACAGGTATCTGACTCAATAACCATTAAAACAACTATCTTCATTCATTTCAGACAGAACTATTCATGGAGCTATCCATCCATTTTCTGACACGCTTGTCCCAATGAGGGTCGCGAGGGGTGCTGGTGCCTTTCTCCAGCTGTCAATGGGCGAGATGCGGGGTAAAATCCATCGAGTCCATCGCAGATTCATGGAACTATTCATACTTATATTATATTAAACTGAACTTCAAATATTCACCACTGTTCGGTGTCAAGTAACTTTGTCCTCTGATCATGGAGCGGGCAGCTTGCTTGGTCTTGCAATGAATCCTGGGATATCCAAGGATAGAGAGGATACATCGGACCCATCCTTCAAATCGGGCATTTGTAGGCTGAATAGTGAATAGCTGAATAGGCTTGGAAACCGACCAGACCTCGATGCCGGGCTATGATTTAATAGGCCTTTGAATCTGGCCTTCGGAGGATGCAGCCCATGAATTGAATAAGTATGGGTTTGTTTACAAAACAGGCAGCTTCTTCTTCAACTACTAAACCTTTTAATTGAAAACTTGACAGTTCTGCACATGCTTAAATGATTTAATGTGATCAAACGCTTGGTACATATATACACAGGTCATTATTATACTTAGTAGTGATGTTATGAGATGAGACGAGGCTTCCAGGCGTGTGTCGAGTAATGGAGGGGGCGTTTCCACGAAGTGTGTGTCGAGGACTAATTCATTTAGAGGTGGGGCCAAAATTTATGACGTCCGAGGCGTCGCTACTGTGATACCAAGTGACCGCTTCGGGAAGTGGTTCAGGAAGCGACAGAATTTTGACAGGCATTTAAACAGCCTCAGTATTCAGTCAAGATGTGGACGTTTGTAGGAGTTGCTGTCAATTAAATAGAGTTTGGATAGATTCTTAGAATAGATTGGTTGGAAAAAAACACCAATCTAGTTGCTTAAAACTATTTTGGTTAGAATAAACAATGTAATGGTCAAAATCTGAGCAGGCCACCAGACACAGTTGCAACATTAGTGTTAAGTAGGATTTTCTCCATTGAAAAGTTAACCACATACTGTATGTGGCGACACAGACTCCCTCTCCTGAGCTTGATGGTTCAAGATCTACCTTTGACTTTTGAAAGTTGCGATTAAACTGAATTATTTTGGCTAATGAGACTAATTTGTATTGGTTTGCCCTAGTAACAATATAGATTGGATAAAAGTGCTGCCAAATTAAGTCGGTTTAGCTAAAAGATTGGTTGAACACATAACTTCCAACCCGATTAAAACCAAAAAAATGTGGAAAACCTATTATGTTTGTGTAAAAATTACTAACATCTTTCATTTTGCTCATTGCCCAATTTGCACAAACACTTTCACTGTCTGCTTGAGTTTATTTCACTAAAATGGCAGAAAAACAGTGCACCTTGAATGATTGTTCTAAGAAATTTTACACTTTAAAAAAAAACTGACTAAAGATTTTATTATACACCCCAACCATTAACAAATTAAAAGGAACTTAAAAGGGGGGGGGGAGAAAAACATTTGCAAAAAATTAGAGATTATATTACTAACTGTAGTTCTGTACTCCACCAGTGGGTGGTGACATGTTCACATGAGCCTTCATGAACTGTGGGGATCATTGAAGCAATTTGGCCAAACGGTTCAATGCCTCATGAGGCTTCATCTCACCATCACTAGTATTTAGTGTCCATGTAAACAGAGATTTTGAATTTCCAATCAACCAAGACTTTAAATCAGTCCCTTCTTTAGGAGCTGATATCTCTGATGTAAGACAAGTCCTTAATCACCAATCAGAGGTGAGAGTTCAAACCAGACTGAACTCTTCTTAGACCCCATGCAGGTAAACTACAACCCTCACCTTGGTTTTTGTTCTGTTTTAGTTCTCCAACTCCATGGTGCTTCTTTTTTACTTACTTCCCAGCCACCATATAGCAACATACGTAGCTCCATCTCCTGCTGCTAATCATCTACAAGTTGTTCCACCTGTTGCACTCCCTTTACTTACCTGGCTCACAATTCCCTTGCTGCCAAAATGTAAACTGATTACTGCTTGTATGTCTTCCCAGAAGTTTGTTACTCTATCTCTGGGTAATCAATTAAAAATCAGTGGCGTCCAAATAAAGAACATCAAAAACCAATAAAGGTCTGGAGACATT